GAGAGAGAGAGAGAGAGAGAGAGAGAGAGAACAGGAGAGACAGAAGAAGAGAGATGAGCTTAATACATTTTCAAATTTTTATACATTTAATACTGATTCTTTCTCTATTATCTCTCTTACTTCTTTTACTCTCATGCTTCCAAAATTTGATTTTCGACAACATCAAATGAAATTTGATAAAGAAAACACTGAAAGAACTACAAGCAGAAAAATCTTTTTCTACACCAAGCGAGCCTGTTGGGCATAAATAAGAAAGGAGGTAATTGACCGTCCCGTTATATGGAACAAATGAGAAGTAGTTGGGAGGAAAAACAACCGACTCGTGCGCGAGCATTTAATTGAAATGAAAAATTCCATTTTCATTGTCCAACGATGTTTTTTCATGGGAACCACGTATTTGACGTGAGTTCCTCAATATGATAATTCGAGCTCATCTATGCCATAGTTAGAAAATAAGGAAAATAAGGTTTGAAATGTGTGAAATTGTTCAAATTGAAAAGAATAATAGTTGTCTAAGAAGAAGTTTGAAGAGGTTTTGTGAGCAAAGAACATACAAGTGACATATTCACATAATTATTACTGAGCTTTTTCTACTTTCCACTCTTAAGATCTTTAAAAGCTTTTTTTTTAACAAAAGAAATTTTTTCAGTTGTTATAGTATAGTAAAAGAGAAAAATGTTGGGATAATGAAAAAGAATTTGAAATGGATAAGTATATGTGGAAGGCTTAAGTTGATTCGTTGGGCTTCGCTTCACCTTTTTTTTCTTACTATCCTTCTATCTCTTTTTTTGTCTCTATGAATGTGGAAAACTTTCATCTCTTCTATCTTCCTATCTTTGTTAATTTTCATGAGGGATTCCCATTTCTATCAATTTAAGAACCATTTCTCTCTTTTTCTCTCTCACTTACCCTCACTCACTTCTTTTGCACATTTTTTGGCTCCCGATGAACATGACAAGAGTAAATTCATTCATTCTTTGTCGAACAACTCATTTCACTTAAAATTTAAATTGAGTAAACAGTAAAAAAATCAGATAAAAAGTCAGAAAATGCAAAAATTAGTTATTCTAACTATGTGCCATTTGACAAATAGATGGCTACTACGATCAATTGGGGTAGTTGGTGGTTGTCCGTGTACTACCCGTTTTGAAGCTGAAAAAGAATAGGATAGAGAGAGAAAAAGTCTGAGATAGGAGAGCTGAGAGAGAGAGAGAGAAAGGAAGAGAGAGAGGGAGAGAGAGACAGTGATATACAGAGAGAAAGAGAAAGGGGAAGAGAAACAAACAGGGAGAAGGAGAAAGTGAGTGAATAATAAAGCAAATGAGTAGTTGATGCCTTGTATGTCTGGAAGTTTTTGGAGGAAAGAAAATAAAAAATTAACTGCACAACAATACAAAAAGAAAGAGAAAACAACAGAAGACAAATGAAAATTGTAATTAAGCAAACGACCAATTTCTACTTCTTTTCTTACATGCTCATGAAGCCTCATCTGAACTGAATGTCATAAAAAGCTTCAAAAACACAAAAGCTTCAGCTTATAAGCTGCTATGAAAAGCAGAAAATCATTAAAATTGAAGTCATAACTCGGAAATAAAGGATAAAAAGCTCTTGTAAGCATTAATTATTTATTCAAAGTCCTTTTCAAGTTCCTTTTTTTTCTTTCCACAAATCGGTTGCTTCAAGATCGATTTCAATTTTTTCAAATGTTTTGCTTTCTCTCTTCTGCACATGGAGTTATTGTTGTATATCCAAATATAAATATAGTATGAAAGAGTCATATCAGCTTCTTTCTAATTCACATCAACCTCTCTCATTCTTGCTTGAGCTTTCCTGACATCAGCACAATGTCGTAAAAGCTTTTCGTTGAGCTAGAAAAATCAATGAGTATGCTCATCATAAAGAAGGAAACGTTTTCCCAGGAAAAACAAATATCGGTAGCAGATTGTTCTCAATTCTCTCAGCAAAAAAAAACAGAAACTACTTCAGCTTTGAAGAGAAAAGGTCGGATAGATTTAAACAGTTATGCTTTAAGCTGACTTTTATCGGGCGCTTTTATTTTCTTCCCCTTTTCTGTCAACTTCCCGACCAAAAACTCCCAAAGGAGGGTCATGAACATTTCAGGAATAAGAGTAGTCAGAACACGACGACAATAATCTAACTTTAGTTTCACGAATGAGAAAATAGAAATGAAGATTTTGATTCGAAACTGCCAAAGATTATCAGATGCAAAACTACTTCATCAGAATAAAAACAGAATGAAGTAGAAACTTGAGTTTATTTTCGAACGAACTTCGCATTTCCAATTTAGAATGAATAAACATTTAGGTAACTACCATTTGGAGCTTCAGATTGAAATGCTATCAAGCAATCTAGATGCTTTTGAAAACAAACATTAAAAAACAGTAACCTTGAGCAGGAAGGAAACACAAGTAAAAACACATAAGTTTGTAATAAATAACGTGACAGGAGTAACTCACATAATTCTCAGCCAAAAATGAATGACGGCTGTCATAAAGGAAACATCACTCACTTACTTCAACCATAAGTTCACTCTAGAATTAGGGCAATAATAATTTTTTCGAAACTTTCTTAACTGAACTTATTTCTAATGCGAGAACTGAACTCAGATAACTAGAGTTAAAAATCTACTTGCGCACTCTTCTTCAGCTCTCAAACTTTCTCTCATTTCTAAGAATAACACTTGATTCAGTAAAACTCTAGCTAAATCTGAGAGACATGTATAAGCCCCAGTGTTGTGTAAGGCAACGGGGGACATCAGATGGCATCACGTCTTCCTGACGTCGATATTTCCTATCCCAAGGGA